TTGATTTTGAAATAAAATTTTAATTTTTAACTTATAATTAGAACCAGTTTTTAATAAATTCAATTCTTTGACATCGGAGGTAATTTTTTAAGTCGAATTCGTATAAGTGGCAAAATTTTCTTGGCTGATCGATTTCCACTTAACCGTGTTTTACTGTACCTATCACACTATTAAAATTATTTTCATTTATATACAAAACTATTTCTAGGATTGCATATGTTTAGGATAAACGATTTACGCAATCTTTGAAATAAAGCAAAAATTAATATAAAGTGAGGTTAATGCTCGATTTTAAGGGTTAGTTGTGTGAGTTAAAAAAAATAATTATATTTTTTAATGTCATGGAATTTACCGTTAGTTTTTTGCGTTTATAAAAATTTGAAAAAGCTTTCGGTTTCGGAAATATAGGAGGTCAAAAATTCAAATTTTGCAAATTTCAAGAGGCGATAACTTGAGAGGGGGTGGAGATGGAAAAATATTTTCTTCTAACGAAATGAACTATTTGTTAATGTATAAAAGCCCCTAAAATTTCAAACTTCTATATGCTGGGGTCTAGAAGAAAAACAACATCAAAAATTTGGAAAAAAATGACTTTAGATAACGGTAAATTTGAACGGTCATTTTGTTTTTCTAAAGTTTAACTATAGTATACCGCGCTATACAAGAAGCAAGCCGCTGCCTTTCTGCGTCTACAGAATTTCGAAAATGCTTATGGTTTCATTGCAACAAATAGTTAAAAAAGGCCATTTTTAGGGTTTTGGGGGGGGGTATAACTTCTAGAGGGCGGGAGATAGATGAAAATTTTGTTCTACACATATAAGTTTCTAGTAAAGATCTATGTACTTACTAAATTTCAACTTTCTATCTTCAAGGGTGTAGAAGTTTTGTAAACAAAAAAGTGTCCACGGACGGACGGACGGACGGACAGAGTGAAACTAATAAGCACTTTTTTCAAAAAATTTTTGGAAAAGTGCTAAAAAGAGATATAAATACACCATTAATTATTAATGGAATTTATAACTTGAATGATCTGACCATTGGTGCAGTGGTTATGGCACCGGCCCTTTAACCGAAGGGTCTCGGGTTCAAACCCCGGTCAGGTCACTATAAAAATTATATTCAATATTATATAACTTAATATGCAATACTAATAAATATTATACAAGTAATTTTCAAATATTAATAATATTCGATATTAAAAACTAAAGAAAAAATAAACAGTAAATATTAATAATCCAAATAATTAATATAAAATAAAAACTACGGTAGGCTAGTCACCTACCTAGTTAACTCTATGACGCTATGAAACTAGTGCGTGATATCATGCACTAGCCCTATGCTCCTTCTAGGAGTGAATAAAGGAAAAAAAAAATAACTTGAATGAGTCGCTTCGGTATGGACACGTATATATATTCTTGTTCAGCGCAAATTTTGCGTTGATTTAGGCATGTCTGTCCGTCCGATCGTACGATAACTGAAAAACGAATAATGCAATCGACACCAAACTTTCACTAGTTCTTTCTTTTCTGCCAAAAAAAGTTACGGCTGCTATTGTAATCGGACCAATTCGGACAATGGGTTCGACTTTCTCCCATACAACTCCAAAACCTTATTTTAAATATTTAATAAAGTCAGATTCATGAGACTTGGCAGTCGTGTGTCCAATTTAGGTCGCATATATCTCTGAAGTTTCAGTGGAATGACTTAACAGATATTTCAAAAACAAATTTTTAAACTCAGATTGTCAAGTTGAAGTATATAATTCAGTCGGTTTATACCAACTTCTTTAAATTTAAAAATGGTGCACAATTTATGATTGGAAAAATTAGTCGGCTTTTTTATAAGACTGAATTTTTTGATAAAATATCTAATTTGAAACAATATTTGTTATCAAAATAATAAAAGAATTTTAACTATGTGTTTCAAAATAATTTTTATTAAAATCCATTATTTTTTACATTCTTATGTTCGATTAGTACATCATCTTTAGAGGTACTCAAATAAATATTGCTGCTCAAATACATTTTCTCTGAAGATGAAGTAATATTGAAACATTATGTAAGAAATATTAGATTTTAATAAAAATTATTCTTGCGGGACAAAGTGTTAGTGTTATTTTATACTTTTGATACTGAAGTTTTTTTAAAATATATAAAAAAATTCATTAACAAAGTAAACATTTAATTCTTTTCTACAATCGAAGTTGTAAGAACATTGTAACCTTTTGAAGGAACTGTTTTGTTTTAAATAATTCTATCACTTTGAATACTTTATACTTATATAATTTTTCGTTAATTAATTGAAACTTATTGTGGTATAATTATTTACAAAAAATGGAAAGTGATACAATTAGGCATTCAAGAAGAATTGCGATATGAAGTCAAACCGTTTTGTTTAATAGAGCAAAAAGAAAAGTTTAACTGTTTTATGAAGCACAAATTTTTATCTTATTTGCTAAAATATTAAAATTCTCATTTTGTAATTCCCTGTCTCGTAGGCTATTTAAAATAGATTAAGTTATTTTTAAAAATCATTCTTAAATAGGAATCATAAACCCAAAAACTTACTATTTCCACTATAAAGCGACTTTGGATTTACATTACATTTGTATGTTTTGACAATCCGTCTTCTGAATAGAGACGCAAAGTAAGTTTTCTGATATTTTGGTAAAATTATGAAAATGCCTTTTAAACAGTGCTTTTATATTTGAAAATTTGAAAAATTGTAAATTTGTTCAAATTTGGCTTTTAATACAGGTTGAGAAATTATAAAAAAATGTAAAATTCTGCTCTAGTTAAAATAAGGTTGCCAAGCTCTGATGTTTCAAAATATTTACGAATTTAACAACCGCAATTGAAATATAAAATCATTGATAATTTTCCGTAAATGAACATTTTTGTTTTTTATTTTTTCTAATTTCGCCCCGTAAAAAAAATTCAAGAAAATCTGTTTAGCATTTTTTTAAAAATTGTAAAATTCCGTAATAATGCCATAATTTCCGAGACCTAACATTGCAAAAACGGCTAAAGTATAAACTAAGATAGAAAATTTCAATAAAACCAGTTAAGCTGAAATTAAGATAACCTTGTACAAATGGACATACAGATAGACAGCAAGACCGATATATTGATATCTCGCTATTAAATAGTTTATTTAGTTTTTTTTTATCACTGAAATTCCATCGCATCATCGGTCTTTAAGGAATTTTGAAGAGGATTTATATGTTGTTAACCCAGATAAGTACAATAAGATTTTTACAATACTTATCGTTTTTCTGAAAGCTCTTTATCTATATTAACGGAAAAGTTTTTGTTTCCTCTATATTAACGGAAAAGTTTTTGTTTTTATATAAAGCATAAAGCACTAAATATAAAGCACTTTCTAAATTTATACTTTTTACTACTAAAGTACTAAGTGAAAATATTTTTTTCTCCTGTTATTACTGCTTCAAGTAATTCACTTGTTTAGTTCGACAGTCAAACTAAAGGTAAGCTTGCTGACTTTACTTGTATTTGCCTATACAGTGGAAGTATTTTTTATAGGAATCTAAAAGAAATACTTTGATAAATTTTCACTAATTTCAGACTATATAAATTACTTTTGTAAATAATAAAAGTTTTTAAACTTCAAAGATAAGGTTATTTTATTTTAATCTAATTTTAAAATCAGTTTGAATTCACTGCAAAATCTAGTAAAAAAAATACAGATGATTTAACTGCGCTTGCCATGTACATATTTTTGTGATAGGTTAGCAATGTATCGAACAAACTTGATTATCAAAATTTTTATAGATATAGCGCAGTTCTCACAACTACGCATATACTGCGTTTATGAAAAGATCTTAAATAAAAAAAATCTGATGTGCTCAGAACATAACCGACCGCAATGTGTATTGTCTAGTTAAGTGAAAATGTTACAGAATATTATAAAAACATCTGTCAAATACTTATTTCCAATTTTTAGGACATTAGTAAGCTTATAGTTAAAATTAAATTTGGCTCTTAGAAGTATGTAAATTTGGCTCTTAGTAGAATTTCGCTTTGTGTTACACGAATTCCCTGAAATGCCCACCAGTTAGTTTCGGTAACAACCAGAACTCAAATATCAAATTTCAAGAAATTCCATCAATTCGTTCCGTAGATATGATGAAAAATGTAAAATCGGCCCGCAGATCAGTTTTCGAACCCTGATCTTTTCAAAACATTTATATGTTGATTGTTTCAATACGAGAAATCAAATACTAAATTTCAATGAAATCGGTTGATTATTTCTCTTTATATACGCAAAAATATATATTTGACCCGTAGTAAACATCCTGTTGCTGAGGCCAGATTTCTTCCAAAAGTTAGGAGGTTTCGCGGTCGGTCTAGTGAAGCTTATATATAAAATTTCAAGTAAATTGGTTGAAAATTTTCTTCAAAATGCTCAAAAATGTAAAACAGGACCGCTAAAAAGTGCAGTTCCCGAGGCCTGATATATCCCAAAAGTTAATCAATCCGTGCCATAGTGGAAATAAACTTACATATAAAATTTCATATCCGACAGGCCGACAGGTTGCTAAAAATAGTTTATTTACACTTCCCTACTATGTACATTTCCCGAGAAGTACATTCCCATTGAAAACTCGATATGCAAAATTTGTTGCCATCACATAACCTACCTATTGTATACACAATACGGTCAGTAAAAATAACGAAAAACTTCAAATCCATAATATGAAAAATGGAAAATTAACTACCACCGGCCTTTTTTGTCAAATAATAAATTTTACTATAATACTTCAGATAAGTGGAACTAAAAAACGTAAGTTGTAAGAAAATCAAATATTTAATATATTGAAGTTATAGCTGCACAGCATGACTTACTTTTGAAAATATACATAAATAAATTGATAGCATTGATATTCATATTTTATGCAATATCCCATTATATTATGCAATATATATTAAATTTTACTTATAGAATTGAATATTTTTCATAAATAATGTTTTTATTTTTAGTTGTTTGGACGTTCTTCTAGATAATTGTGAGCAGGCTGATGAAGAAAAACTTTGGTATCGACCTTTCCCAGAATGTTGTCCTGTCTTTTGTGAACTAAAAAAGCGCCTGAATCGACTAAAACATCTAATAAATCGACGTCGTTGGACATATTCACGCACTGATTTCCCCGAATTTTCTGAAACACAAAAAATGCAACAAATGGACAAACGACCGTCAGCATCAAGTGACGCAGAATATCGAAATCAATATAGTAAACAGCTTACTCAAACATTGCAATTATCACATCAACCACAATTATCACACCAACCAAATATATATACGAATGTTTTTGGCCATGACAGTTATAATCTTAATCTTTAAAATGGAAGAAGAGAATATACGAGTACGTAAATATTAAAAATTTGTACTTGAGGAAAATTTTCTTCTCAAATGAGAAAAAAATTTCTTTATTTCGGAAATTTTACATTTTGCACATTATGTTTGTTTCCTTAGTTTTCGCAAAAATTTTAGCAACAGACAAAATTTCAAATTCGAGAGAATAAGTAAAAAAAATCTTATGTGATCAGCACATAACCGAAGGCAATGTAAGTTATCTAGTTTAGTGAAGGTGTTACAGAAGATTAAAAATTTTAAAAAAAGTTAGCAAGTCTTATGCCTAGAAAAGTGTAAATTTGGCTCTTAGTAGAATTTCGCTTTCTGCCACTCAAAATTCCTGAAAAGTTCACCAGTTAGTTTCTATCTGTAAATATTTTTGAAAGATTAGGGCCCGGAAACAGAACTGGTGGCTGATTTTACATTTTTTACCATATATTTGGAACGGGTTGATGGAATTTCTTGAAATTTTACATTTCAGTTCTTATTGTTACCGAAACTAATTGGTGAACTATTCAAGTGATTCGGGTGGCACAAAGCGAAATTCTACTAAGAGAAAAAATCTACATTTAGCTAAAAAGTTACATTTATAATTGAAAGGAAGTGTCACTAAACTAAACACTGCAGTCGGTTAGATGCTGATTTTTCATATCAAATTTTTAGGTAGAGTGGAAATTAATTTTGCGTTATGCAACTAACATTTTATTTTCGATAACCGTTGAATTAGAAAGAAACTTGGCATTGTGCCAATTCTGAATTTTTATTTGTATTAAATGAAAAAATTTCAACTGAAAGTTCGGAGGAAAATTTTAGATTGATTGATTTTGTTTTTGATAAATTAGTTATGCCAGATTTATTCATCTAATGAAGATTATTGGTAAATTCTTAAACTTCAAATTTTACAAAATCTGAGTTGTCTGAGTTTACGAATACTCTACTGCGTTTTTACTTTCAGTCAAAGCTTAAATTCTTAAACGTTTAAAAAAAGTCAATTAAGCGTCAAAATTGTAGATTTTTTTTTTTTTAATTTAAGTAAAATATTTTTTTTGTTAATTTTTAATATGTAAGTATAAAATTATTTTAAATCTAAAAAAAAATTTTTTTGTTTTGACGTTTACGGATGATCAAAATTCAAAGTCAATTACGGGTAAAAAGTTTACTACATTTCTGTCCATAAAAGTTTTATACGTCAGACAGTTTGCAGACTGAAAACAAAATTTTGACGTTAAAGAATTTGCGGTATTTCCTGTATAGTTTCAGTTTTAAAAAAAAAATTTTCATTTAATACAAATACGTAATTGGAGCTGACTTCTTTTAATTTTTAAAATAATTACATATATTTAATAAACGTTTGTTTTGATGAATTAGGTGATTAACATATAATTTGTTCTAATATATTCAGATTTTGTTAAAAATCAAGACCCGAATATAACATCATGAAAAATTTTATGGTTTTGTTTTTCAGTATTTTTGTTTGCTAAAAATTTTTTGTCTACTTAAATAACATGTTAAAACTTGGAAGCTTTAAATTGGAAGCAGTGGGTTAAAACTATTGCGAAAAATTAAGTAGAAGACTTAATTTAAGTATATATTAAATACTTTCAATTTTATTTTAATATAATTGTTTGTTCTAAATTGAAACAAAAGGAATAAAAAAAATTTGTAAACAATTTGTTTAACTTCTCGCCTAATAACGCAAATTCTCATAACTCAAGTTCGCAAATGATGGTAGTAACCATAATCTTTAAGACCCCATCTTAGATCAATACTCGTATTACAAAAAATTTGTAAAAGTTATTTGAGTGCCTATTTTCTATGTTTATTTTTTCAGGTCAAACCATATTTTGGTGTTCATCAAAAAATTGACTATGTACATATGTATGTAGGTATATGGTATAGGCGGCACAATAACGTGATATAAAATATTCATTATAGTTCGGTGCGTTTGCAATATTAATCCTTCATAACTTAACAATGTGAATGTATTGCTTAATACAGGCACCAGTATTTTTTTTTGAGAAAAAAATAGGAGTGCCTGTATATCTATTTTGAGAGGAATCTTAAAGTTTAAGTTACCGTTTTGCCAATTAGAAATTAACATTCAAAATAAATTTAGTTACATATACACAAAATCTTTTTTTGCGGGAAAGATTGCCAGGTAACGTAGTTTATCTGAACTGAAAATCGATTCAAGTTCAATTTATTTTTTTCAAAAGATATTCTTGCCAAAACTTACAAAAATTATCTTGTAAGTTATTACAAGATAATAGTTTACAAAAATAAAAAAATTAGCATATCTTGCCTAAATATACAAAATAAAATAAAACGTTAAAAAAATTGAGATTGTACCTTATATTTGTTTAGGCTAGAATCACTTCCTTCAAAATCCAGTAAATTAAATTTCATCCGTAAAGCTTACTAAAAAGAACTACTATTCTTCTATTCGGGTGTCTCGTATCTAAGGGCCTGTTACAAGTACATATACCACTGTTTGAACCTCATGTGTAGACAAAATTTTTGTATGGGAATGATGTTCAATGAGTCATGATTTTTTGCTTTTTTGAAATTTTAAGTATAACTCCGTGTCTATTAAATATGACTGCGAAGCCTCAGAGCAAGGGCTTTTTTATATGTAATCTACATTAGTCTGTTCGGACTTCGGAATCGTATGACTATAAAGTTCGACAATTTTGAAAGTTCAACTTTAGATTTTTAAAAAAGTTAATTTTTTAGTTGGCGTAACGTTTCAGCTTTTTCTAATTTTATAACAGCTGGCAACCGTGCCAACTGCATTTTAATTTGGTATATAAATGATCTTCTTAATTAAATTAAATTACATTATTCGAATAATAACAAAACACAAAGAAGGTTGAAGAGTAAACTTTAATTGGATTATAATTAATTTGTCGCGAAAAATCTCGATCTTTTTTGTTTTTAATTTTGTTATAAATTTGATCCACGTAGACACGTTATTACTGAAACTTTTGGAAATATTTGGCGGAGAAATAAAGATAACGCAAATATCTTTCATTTTGAAAGATTAAAAAAGATTAAAAAAGTTGGTTTTTGTTTGAAAAAACTTTGTTTTAGTTAATTTTCCAAGGTCTAAAATTTTTCCCACATTATGTTATATCAAAATGAAGGTCAGAATATAAGGCTCTTCTTCCTGTAAACAAATGATAGGTTTATAACGTGGAACTATAAGATTGGATTTACCTGTCACATTTCTCGAGCTATAAATAAAAATGTGAAAATAAGACAATTTTTGCATGTTCCAACTTTGAGACCCCATAACTCGAGAGCAACCGCCCAGAAAGAAAAATGTCATTAGGTGATTCTTGTTCGTCTGCATGTATTTCATTGCATAACACCACTGAGTCGCGGACACCCCGTATAGTGATTTTAAAGTTGAATAATTTGGTTTTATGCACATTTCTTGCTAGAATACGTTCGACATGTCTAGGGGTAATTTTGAAGATTGATATCGAAGTTTAGATTACGTATTACAGGAAAAATATGATTTCGGAATTGACTTAGAATATAAAATCCAATTGAAGACCGAAACAAGCAGCAGTGCAGATAAGGAAGAAGCACAAAATGATTGCATATTTGATAATGTAGGATTACTACATAGAAAGATGTAACAAAATGAAGGAAACTTCGAAGTACAACATAGTCGCTAACAAAAACACAATAGTCTTTGTAGTAAAAGCAGTTCAAATAATACCTTTTTCATCAACTTCAATTTAATCCAAATAATATTGAAATAAATTGTAATATTTGATTATTATTTTCATAAATTTTGTTTTTAAAACTTTGATATTTTCTTATGTATCTTTTATAAGAAATTAAATTCAACATCAACCCTGTATTATGTCGAATCACGGCTGACAGAAATACTATAATATTTTGTAATGTCAAGTGTCGAATACAAAACTTTATTTGTTTGTCAACTTCCTTATTACTATTCATTGCACATTTAAACCCAGCGTATATTTGTCATTAATACACCGTTTATTGTGTTACGTACAATTTAAGAAGTCAGAGTCTCTTTTTGTTTATGACGGATTTGCCGTAAAAATTCACTGAAAGAGTTTATAGATACTTGAGCTTTAAAAACGCATATTTCCTTTTCATTAGTTGGATTATAGTCATGTACTTGCAACTTCACTTCCAACTTCGATATAATTTTACTATAACTTAAAACCTAGGTCATAAGAAAATGTCCTAATTACATCGCGTAACGGTAAAAAATGATACGTTAAATTTAAAAAGGGCTGATGTTTCAGAAATGTACGTAAGGAAAATGGTAAGTAGTACGTAAGGAAATTCCAGCAATTCAAAAAATAATCCCTTGATTAGAATTAGATAATTTTTTATCCCAATATATGAAGTATAATACACGTAATATTCCGATTGCTGGAAACGTTTTTCACATTGAAAGGCATGTCAAACAAATTACAAATTTGAAATATTTATCTGCAGAATTTTTTGTGAACAGTTTATACTTATTAGTGTTTACACATATAATTTGATAATAGACAAAACATTTCGTTGTCAGCTTCTCTTTTATTCGTTTTCAGATAATATATTTTTGTGAATAATTTTGCTCAATGTCATATATCTACCACTACTTATTAGTCATGTTCGTTCTCGAACGAACTAATCTTAAAGAACGAATCACTTCACTGAACTTAGCTGATTAGTTTACTTCTTCCAGAATGAATCGTTCATCGCTCACTTATCGCACACTAAGAATTCCAATTTTCTCTTTTAGTTATTAAAAAATATGACTGTATATACATTGGTAATTGATATACATTTTATATTATTCCTTATTTCTTTCTGTATTAATATTACACAATACAAATAAAATTGAACGATATACTAAATCCAACACTCATAAAAACGAACGACATACTCCTATATGCAATATTGATAAAAGTAAATGAGAAGTTAAATAAATGGAATAGTATACATACAAACCATCTTAACCGTAATTTTTAATAAGTGTTATTCTTCGGGCATTTTCCCGTCCGTGTGGAAGGAAGCTTTCATTAGGCCATAAGAAAAACAATAAAAATGACGTGTAAAACTATCGTCCTATAGCTAAACTGTCGGCAATTCCTAAGGTTTTTGAGTTGATGGTATATGACAGTATTTATCTCCATTGTATGCCATTCATTAGTGTGCGTCAGCATGGCTTCTTGAAAAAGAAATCCACGGTGACTAATCTATCACACGGACGTAATTTACACAGACTTCAGCAAAGCCTTTGACATACTACCACATGAAATTATTATTTTAAAATTGAAACTCTTAGGATTCCCTGACAACTTCTTAGCATGGATAAAGTCATATCTCTTTGGCAGGACTTACAGAGTCCTCTTTCGTTCAGGAATTTCCTCGCCTCTTTCGCCTAATTCTGGTGTACCCCAGGGTAGTCACTTAGGTCCATTGCTGTTAATAATTTCAATTAATGATGTTGTTTCGATGCTAACGCACAGTGAGGTATTAATATATGCTGATGACATAAAAATTAAAAAAAAAATAAGCTCTACAAATGATGCGTTGTGTCTTCAGAATGATCTTAACCGCTTCTACGGCTGGTGCTCAAGTAACAACCTAAAAATCAAAGTAAATAAGTATGCACAAATTTGCTACTCTAGGCAAAAACGACCATTTTTTACAAACTATACTTTGAATGGCCAAGCTCTTAGTCGAGTTGATTCAATAATGGACCTAGGTGTTTGCTTCGATAGGAAATTATCATTTATAAACCACTATAATCATATCATATGCAGATCAAGCTCAATGTTAGGTTTCATTCAACGCTGGTCAAATGAGTTTAATGATCCTTATGTCTTAAAATCACTCTACACATGCGTGGTCCGTCCTCATCTTGAATATGCTTCACAAGCATGGTCACCCTTTTATGATATACATATTAATAGGATTGAGTCTATTCAAAAAAATTTTTTGAGATTCGCACTGCGCCTTCTTCCTTGGGAGGACCCCATCATTCTTCCACCTTACGAGCACAGACTCAAATTAATTGATCTTAACTGGGTAAAAGACGTGACGTCGATTGGATTTGTTATTCATTTTTCAGCTTATGAAAACTGACTTAATCTCCCCCGACATTTTAAATAAAATTGTGATTAATTCCAACCGTAGGTCTCGTTCCCCTGATCTTTTGATGGTTCCTTTTCATAGGACCAATTATGGGAAACATGAACCTGTCAGCAGAATAATACGATATACTAAATCCAATACTCATAAAAACGAACGACATACTCCTATATGCAATATTGATAAAAATAAATGAGAAGTAAAATAAATGAAATACTATACACACAAAAGAGACCGAATCAGTTGCCAATATAAATACAATACAAGTACAATTGAACGATATACTAAATCCAATAAAAAAACGAACGACATACTCCTATATGCAATATTGATATAAGTAAATTAGAAGTAAAATAAATGAAATACTATACACACAAAAGTGACCGAGTCAGATCATGTACATGTTAATATTTTTGTCATGTATTTGTGTCTATTGATTACTGCACAAAAAATGAGACTGTGATATTCTTGTGTCCATATATAAATTTCGTACTGGAAGTCTGCGTCGCTGTTTAAAATTTAATTTTAATTTAAATTTAGTGAATAATTATATTAATTTTATTAATTCGTGTTATTAAATAAAATGAAGATTTTTAATATATATAAATAAATTTTTTCTTTTGTTTGTCATATTTTGTATGAAACAAAGGTAAAAACTTTAAATTTTATTTTGTTGCCTGTGGTAAATATAATTTATTCAAGTACCTACTAATGTTAAGATTTTAACAATTTAAATAAGTATTTAATTTAATCTCTTATAAAAGAAAATTAAAAAATTTGTGAATTTAGTTAAATACATAGGTACATTTACGTCATAAAATGAATTGCTATTCTCATCAAGTATTACTAGTTTTAAGAAATATTGATTAAAAATTTTATTATTTTATGTAAATATGTCATGCAGTTTTTTCAAAAGCAATTTTGTTATGTATTTATTATTTTGGTTTTAACTGAAAAATATTTTGTTGCCTGTAATTTATTATAATGTAATTTGTTGCCTGTAATAAGTAACTAGTTTAAAAGAACAAGATATTTAATTTTGTTAATATTTAAATGAAATAAAATAATTTCTGCATATTTTTTGTATTTAATCGTTTTTTATTTTACAAACATCCCAAATCACCATATGAACATTTCTAATTTATTCGAAAATACCTAGTATAAAATATGTTTCTTAACGAAAAATACGATGATCAATTTTCAATATAAATGCAATACAAATAAAATTGACCGATTCCCATTACACATGCCTATTGCCTAATATACTCGTATTTGCAATACAAATAAAAGTGACCAAATTAAAAATCTATCTAAACAAGAAAATTGAAAGATGGACTAGTTGAACGCTACATGTAGGAAATAAAAAAAAAGCATTGAACTGGGTTACAATATGTTTTATATTTATGCATAAAATTTTAAAAAAAGGACAATAATTATGATATAATTATGACTAAATTAAAGAAAACAATAAAAAAAATTAATCATTATAAGTTAGCATTCTAACCCATTAAAGATTAAAATAAAAAGTTAAAGTAAACTAAACAAAAGTTTGAAAAAATTAGGATAAGATTTCAG